ACTTCAGAAGCAACTATAGTTTCCATAATAGTTAATAAAAAGTGGGAATATCATACCAGAAAATTGATATTTTGACTTCAATTTGGAAACTTTTGGGACAAATCAACGAATAAGCAGGAGATTGTTAACGATGTCGTTTTAGACCGTGCTTCCTTACTTCAAGAAATAATAATTAGGATCGGCTGAATTTTCGTAAACTGTTTTATTTCTTGTATTAAAAGAAAGGAATAATTATTATTGCTTTCAGAAACGTTCGTGGTTAAACTGAAATATGTTAACGAAGACGCAGCAAAAGGATAACCGGAGGACTCACGTTATTGAAATATCACATTCGAATTTTATTTTCCGGATATTTATACAGAGAACCGAAGCAAGAACGGGACGAAGAATGTTCGGAATGTGTATCGGTTATTGTTCACGCGAAACCGAGACATAAATGTGCAACATAATTTCAAAGCATTTAATTCCATACACTCCGCCGTACAAAATAAAGCGTGGGGGTGGGGGAGAAAAAAAAAATTAAACAGGAGCGACAATAAACACTTTGATCGATCAGAAGAGACCAATTTTTACAATAAAATCATTACATACGAGATTATTTACGATTTACAGATAAAACTATTATAAACAATACAAAACACTTATCAAGTTTTATTGAGCTGAAAATTGTTCTAAATTCTTCAGTGCGCTTTGCAGTACTGTTAAATCCTGATATTCACTTCGAATTATTAATAGTTCCATTGTATTCGCGAATCTTCAAGATTATTTATATAAAGGAAAGCCGTGTATTTTACAGCCACCCTGGATCTAAAATGTTATTACCGATACATGCGATGGTGTACTCCGCCCTAAAACTAAGAAAAACGTGCGAAAAAACACCTCTGACGTTCAAATAAATAAAGGAAGATAGAAGAATTACGTAATTTGCGTTTCAAATTTATCTCGTCGCTAGACTGCAAAATGACATTCTTTGAAGAATCGTATAGTTAACCGTGAAATAGACATCTTTTTCTTTCGTTAAGGATTTGATCAAGCTAAAAACAGCATAACAAAATTTATTAAGTCTGTCTGAAATTTTGTATTTTATTGTCTTTCAAACATAGATAAAATCTGTAATCCACTGATTCCCAAATTCAAAATAAAATGTTTTCAATGAAATAATTCTAATTTTTTGTATATATTTTTCACACGATATAGTAGGAATGGAAATGAAATTATACAGAAGCAGTCAAAACATACATGTACTTATAGAGAGGGAATATTGTAGTTCCTCAAAAATCCACAAGATCATTTATTCAAACTTTTTTCTTAGTTTCAGGACGTAGAGTATACTTGTACCATCTCTAAAATTTTCATATTTACTCCATGTCCGTCCCTATTAAAATTTCTAACAAAAGAAAAAAAATTAAAGCACAGTTCGATTTTATACTTCACTAGTATTCACAGTACTTTTACGAACAACGCTACGGTTCGAAACACGTGTTACAGAATCACTCACAATATCTCTTTTCGTTCCACGCATTGTCATTTCTCGCTTATTTACCCTCTAAACACTTCGGTACATTTGATTGTTTAATACGCCGACTACAATTTTCGATTCTCGTTTACGAGCTAATAGGTCGATCACGGAAGAAACGCTGTGTATCAACATTCTCGATTATTATTATTGCAACTGAACGCCCCCCGGCGGGGCGACACATGTATGTACAAACTATTTACAATTCTATCACAGAGATACGGTGAATCGCATAGACAATAGAAAAAAAAACACATAGAAGAACAAAGAGAGCAAAAATAGATTAAAAGTGGGAAGGGGTAACGAAACCGCGGGTGTCATAAATAAAATTCTCAGACTTGAAGGGAACGAGCTCTCGTTGGACGAGCGTTTGCACGGTTAACGGTATAAAATATAAACAATAGACTCTCTTCGCGCGGCGAGATACAGTTGATTTACAACTACAATACGGCTTAAAATTATTTAACGAATAAATTACGACCAAACGGGAGAATTAACCGACTTATCTGGCGAAATCCCTAACGAAACGACTCCATTGTTTCGGTTCACAGACTTTTTCCTTATTTCCGTTTCTCTTCGAATAATTCGACTGAACTATTGCGCGTTTTCCTTGGAAAAATGTTCAACTTCGAATTGTCTGAACGACGTACCAGAGTGATTTTTCGATATGAAACACAACAAATTTCTGTCTGTAATGTGATCAGTAACTACACCGAGTAATTCCAAAAAATATATCTCATTAATTTAAAATATACAGGATCGAATAAAATAATTTAACGTGACAAATAATGAATCTTTTTTTGTTTCGAATATTTTACGAGAAACACGTTTTTTTAAAAACGGAAGTCATCGTTAATACGAGTCCGCCTCGACGATGCCAGAAACACAAAAGACTTTCTAGAATATTCAAGAGAATTCAAGAAAATTCAAGAAAATTCATTGAGCTAGTAGAGAGCATGTTGGACCACGTAGGATCGCTTCCATTCCCACCACGTAAATCACAATTATATAAACAATTACTTCATTCTCACCTACAAAAGTAAGGGAGTCTCGAAGTAAATCCTCCTGAAGAAACGGCCTAAACCTGTCCCATCAAGATCAACAACCGGATACTCGAAACCGACTCGAACGTCTTAACCGTAAAATAAATACTCTCTCTCTCTCGACGATAAATAATATTAATTGAACAACAACGGTAACAGTAACACGATCTCTTTGGTATCGTACACATATGTTCGAGTCGCGAGATAACGCAACGATATCGAAACAAGAACGGGTAAACTCTCGTTTAACGCGTCGCGCAGAATGTCCCCGTCGACAATAAATAACACCAATGAAATAACAATAACAACGATTCTCCTACCGTATCGAAAAACGAAACAGCGTGTATAAATAACAAATTCTCACCAAAAACAAAAGAAGAAACACCGAGACGGTATATCCAAAGCAATAATTTCCCGACACAAGCAGACCGCACACCATGTACACTTGCATCCAAGCAACTGAATGAACCATACGCGATTTCTACCCCCACCAGGATCACTGGACACTTTCACCCAATCGGTTTTCTTCGTCCGCGCGAGTAGCAGGTAAACCAGGACAATTAGGGTATAAGACATCTAGTTATGGAAATAAGGGTAGCTTTTTGCAAAACAATTTCTTTGGATAAGTAGGACACCTTCTTTGGATTGGGTTCTAACCTGGAGGTGAAAACATCCTGGGGTAGTAAACACAAAGGAGCCATAAAGTTTTGCCAGATTTACATTGGTAGAGTAGCTGGCGCTAGTATCCAAGAGCGAGAAAGACAGCCTTCTTCGCTATCCTTTTTGCCCCTGAATACTAGCTACATTTAGGTCCGGCGTTCAATGAAGGGTATGATGACATTATAGTACATGTTGCTGTCTACAATGTCCCTCTCAAAATTACTCTGCTCTTCAGATTATGTAGTTCTGAAAATTTGAAATATGCAAGACAGTCACGGGTCCAAAATACCCTAAGTTGGTCAGGCCTGCAATAGGACTTATATTTATGGTTACCAAGTGGGTTTTACCATCTCATTACATCATTACGTACCTCCAGAATATAAATCACAAACCAAAATTTCTATAATCTTTCCATACCAGGCGTCGACACATCCGGATCTGTCGATGTCACTACTGCACTTTTATACCCCGAGTCACTGTATCTCGTGTCAATGTTACCGGGCGTCTCTGCCAAGTGCACAGAATACAGTGAATCGGTGTCCCGTTTAGATCAAGCACAACAAACAGACACCACATCTCCGATCTTTCTACCCTCTTGTGTTTACTCTAATCGCCTTCAGTCACCCTAGAGACTGCCAATCAAACCCGGTATCCCGTTTACACGATCGTCACTCTGCCTTCTGGCTTTTGTTTGCGTTTACGAAGTGACGGAAGCAGATACAGCAGCATCAAGTGGGATCCGTGAGCTAATGAACCTGGCCACCCAATCGGACATCATCATCTCGAGGAGATCGAGGAACCGTCAGACACCCAAGGTGCCACGACGAGCTGGTCGGTTTGACGAGACACCTGTTCTCCGAAGCCATGATCGTTCCTTCCTTTATCCGTGTGGAGGTAAGCTGAAGAACGAGACGATCATCAGCCCTCGCCTGGATCGTTCTCCCGATTTCGTCACGGAAACATCGCTTAACAATATTATCTTTGGCAATGGTGACGCGATCCATACGCTGTACACGTGTGTGTGTGTGTGTATGCATATGTACACGTGTGCTTCTTTGCGATGGTTTGGCAATGTCCCTGTGTTCCCCTGGCTCCGTGTACTTCCGGTTTCGAAAATTGCGCCACGACATCGCTTCACTGACGACTCTTATTCCATTTTGTAAAATAGAAATTCTTTTTCTGTGAATGGTTATTTGTGTATAAAATACAACAATTATTGTTTTGAAGAGATTTTGACTTCAATGTTGAGTTGTTAAAGCTTTCGAGGAAATCAGTTTCTTCGATTTAATATTGTTCCATTTTTTATAAATATCCACAGTGTGCTTGCAAAATATTCGAGAAACGTGATACAGTAAATCATCGATGAGTGTTCGAAGGCTCCTCAGCAGTGAGTGTTCATGACGTCTGTACGCTCAGTACGGAGGAGCCTTCGAACAGTTATCGATTAATTGTATTCTTTGCAGTTCAAAGAAATTCTATCTTCGGTATCGTTACCAATAGTTGTGGCTTAAATTTTCACTGCAAAAAAATTATTTTATCCTGCGATACACGATGATTCCAAAGAAAAAATGACCGTACAATTTTACAGTTACAGAAAAGAATATTCCATTTCCAGCTGCTACGAGACCCATCGAGCGTGCATTAAGCCGGATCTCCACTTTCAAGATCACTCGATCCCCAATCGACGAAGTATCGAAAATACAATATATTTTCAATGGTTCCTGTAAATTCGAACAGCCCATCTGAAAATGTATTTATTTTTTTTTTCGTATTTTGCCGTTGGTCGAAACGTTCAAGCGTGAAAGAGGCTTTACGGAACACGTTCGAATGGCTCTTGTCGTTCGAGCCGACGATTCCGTTGGCCGAAACCGGAAATAATCGGGGACCGTTCGAAATAATGTCGGAAATACGAGTATTTGGGTGAGATTTTCGTGTGTTGTTCCTTCTGTCTTCTTTTTTACTTTATTCTTTTTTACTTCTTTCTTTTTTTTTGGCAACGTAACGGAGAATCTTTGGTCGCGTGTCTACGCGTATTTCAATCGGGTACTTGTTTATCGTCTGTTACGTGTATGTTGTGGATGTGTTCGTGATGTATGTGGATGACGGTACGGATGTATAGGTGTGGGCGTATTACGCGTGTGTCTTATTGCGAATGCAGTTTAACGTATAAAGTTGCTCCCCCGATCTCATCTCAGAGACTGCTACCGAACTCGCTCGATCTTCGTCGGTCGATGTGCTTGACGTACGTCTCGGAGTATATACTCTTAGTGCGGTCGTCGTACCTGCAAGCAGAAATGGAAAACGACACCAATACAGTTTGGGGTTCGTTCGATCGAACAGTGGGTGTGGTCTTGGTTTTTCGAAAATTTTTCATCGCTTGGTTATTGTAATCGGTTTTCGAATATGGGGGGGATTCGAGGCTTGAAATCACTTAATTAATTAACTGTATAAAGGAAGTATTTAAGCTCATTTGAAACATTGGTCAGTCATAGTATACATTAATTTTGGATGATAAAGGTAGATTAAATAATACGTACTTATGCGAAAAGGAGTCTACGATGTTTAATATGGCTGCCATCTTGGCCAATGTAAAGTCCCACTCAGGTTATATTGAATTTACATTGGAAATGGGGAATTATTCCACTCCCTTTTACGAATACAAAATCACCCTCACCTATGTTTTACAATCAAAATTGAACGTTAAATAATAAATTAGTACGTTCAATTTTCAGACTGAAATAAGGAGGAACAACCGACGTCTGCCTAAATACCTTGATGCTACTCTAACAATAAAAATTACGACGTCCCATTACGAAAGGTGACAATCTAAGGGAAACCAAGCTGCGAAACGAAAAGTAACGAAACGAAAGTGGTATCAACTTGCGCGAAGATTCTCGAGAATCGCGTCTTGTCCAAAGAACTATCAGAATTTCATAACAGAGAGGAAGTTTCGCCGCCAGGCTTTTAAAGCACGAGAAAAAAAATGCTTTTGCTTCCTCTCGTTCTTCCTTCGTTTTTTTTTCTTCTTTCTTTCTCCCCCGTAAAACCACTTTAAAGGAGGTGAAACGAGAGGGAAGAAGCACGCGTTTTCCTGAGTTATGCTCGCATTTGCGTGAAAAAAAAGGTTGAGCATCCGGTTCTCGACGTTGCCCTACTTTCACGCTCGCGGAATTAAAAGTAATGTTCTCTTCCTCCCCGTTTTCTAATCATCCCACCGGTTTTATGGCGGTTACTTGCGCGCCAAGACTGCAGCCGGCATTAAACTTTTTTAACTGTGATTTCCAAGCTGTACGTGATCCGGATCAGTGGTTAAAAGGATATATTGGAATGCGATCTGTCGGATTCTACCGCTTGAAACTGTCGATATTCGAATGGGGGGACAATACATCGTGATTGGTGAACTTAATATCACTGTACATTCTCTGTTTTGATAGATAAAAGTTGTAACAGTGTCGAGTTTCTTTCATTTTTCAATTCTTTCTACAATTTTGAAACTAACCTAGGGTAAACCATTATTTTTCAAATACTAGGTATATACAAGTATTTGTTTTTTGTAAATTAGAGTCCCAATTTAATAATTACATTTTTTGTAAACAATTCCTTATACGATACGTTTTTATTAAGTAAAATAAGTAAAGTGGCAGTATTAGGGACACTGGCAGTATTTGAAACATTTAGCCTATATATTCGGAAGAAAATCAAATGCAAAGTACACTTTCTTCACTTTTCTGTTCCATGTCTATCGGTTAGGTGAATCTTTATCTGTCATGAAACACACGGTAGACATATAGAAATTAAAGGTTGAAAATATGTGTTCCAAAAAGACGTGGTCTCGTCGAACAGTTAAGCGTCGATGGGATGTGAGAGGGAAGGGGACGAAATAGGGAAGCGAGAAAAGCGATAGAATGTGGTGCGTACCTCAATGTGTCAGACCAGATCGTACCTTAGGGACGGCCGACGGAAATCAAGCGCCTCGAGGTCGGACGGCTCTCGTCTGCAGAGCGAACAGAAAGCGCACTGCAGCGTATTCTTGAAGGCTTCTCGGAAGTCCCGATTGAAGTACGCGTAAATCAACGGATTCAGCGCCGAGTTCGTGTATCCGATCCAGAATAGGAGCGCGATCACGACGTCGGGACACGGACAGGGCTCGCCGCAGAGGGTCGTGACGACGTACCTTGAAGATAAAATTCCTTTAAATATATTACTAAATAAGAAAAAAAAATAGAAGGAAGCGCAAAGTAAACGTCAGACCACGTCATTTCACCCCTTTCTTTACAAACTCGCTGTGGAGATTTTGATCTCGATTTAATGTACGTGATTATTCATTCCATTTAAGTGGAATTGCACGCAATCATTTTTAAATTTATAGTTAAAATCAAGCAGTTAGGGTAATGTTATTGGTTGCTCAGAATAGTTTAATTATTAAGGAATACACTGTGTACATACAGTGTTTTATGGAGGGTATTCAAGATGGTGGAAAGAGAGACGTTTGAAACCTTTAAAGGGATTTCACAGCTTGGATAGTTGACATAGATCTCCGTGACTAGTTTTTGCTTTAATTATTCTATATAAGTTTCAATGGTCACTCTGCATAACCGTGTATGCCTACAGCATATTACTTTAGAAAGAAACTATTCTGTGTAATTGATAATGGCAGAAAATTTTAAGGGGATCCAGTGACGAGAAACTCTAACACTTCATACTTAAAAATACAGAAAATATAATACTTGAAATCTTTCTTGAAATATAATGGTTGAAATATTCAAGTAGACCATAAGGTTTCTATAAGAGAAAATAATAGATTCGATTAAAGTGGAATAAGTTATGTTAATGGTACTCTCCCGAAATTCCGAGGCTGACAATCTAAACATAAAAGTCTGAAAGATGTACAAATGATTAGCAGAACAAAAATCGAACTGGGTCCGAGTAAAGGAACATTTTCGGAATTTCTGTAGTCGACGTTACGGGTTGATCACTATACATATTCCACACAACCGGCCGCGTCCCCGGCCGACGTATTTACTTAATTACGTTTTAAACTAACGAGAACAATTGGAACCGTTACGCGAGCGGGATATGCACATGTGCGTTACCCACACACCCACACAGACACACACACACACACACGCGATCTTTCTCAATTTTCATGTGACACTGAACGGAACGTCCGCGAGAAAAATCAACAATTCAACGAAGCGTAGGAGATCCGCTTCGATGGAAGCGCACTTGGACAACGACGTGGAATTCTCGTGGTCGTTCGTTAACACCCACTGACAATCGCGTGGAGAACGAGAAAGGCGAGTTTTTCCACGTGCATAGGTTGTTCCATAATTTTTGTTGTACAGCCCTGATAGAAGGAGCAAAAAAATTTCCTTTATACCATTAAATAGCCAGACACTTTGTAAGTGACCCAATTATAGACAGAATAGTGGCCTGGCAAGATCGTTTTTGTTAAAAAGTAATAAGACACCATTGATTTTTTTTTTGAGCTCTCTAATAAGTTTCATTTGTCTGGAATGCCCAAAAAGAAATTTTTTATGGAATAATTGAAAATTAGTGAAATACCAAACAAAAAAACAGTTTTTGCACCTATTATGGAGTGTCTATCTACTAAAAAAGTATAATATTTAGTATATATTACATGTATATTAACAACCACTAAGAGGGTGTGTAATAAATAATCACTCGAAAGTCTCAAGCCTTGCAAGTGTCGTCATGGGACACAGTTTCAGCTATGATTTCTCTGAGTACACTGATACGTTAGCTACACGGTTTAGGGTATATATTAAAAAAGGGTTTGGCTATTCGATGGTCTGAAGGAGATTTTTCTGCCGTTTTTACCAGGGCCGTGCGACAAGAATTCTGAAACAACCTGTGTACAAATTGACGAAGGGGAGGAGCCACGCACCACAAAAAGAATGGCAACCAGCACACTATGAAGGTCCCCATGATGATGCCTAACGTCCTCGCAGCTTTGTGCTCCCGTTTCATCTTCATGATGTTCTTGTCCTTCGTCGGCGTGTGCTGATGATCGGTGCTGATCTCGTTCAACGTCAACGTCTTCGACGAGCCAGCGCTGTTCAGCTCACCATTCAGATTGTTCAGATCCTTGCTGGGCCTGTGGCTGAGCAGCATCACGTTCCCCATACGGCTGTGCATCTGCTTCTCCTGCCTGTTCGCCTCCTTGAATATCGCGAAGTACGTGAGGGTCATGATCGTGCACGGTATCCAGAAGGAGATGCTCGACGAGAATATCGCGTAGACCTTGTTCACCTTGAACTCGCAGAGATCGGGATGCTTCCGTCTATGCATGCTATTCTCGACAGTGGTGTACCAGCCCATGAAGATCGGCATGAACGAGATGAATCCGGGCATGATCCAGCAGGCGAGCAGCATATAGGCGGCCACCCTTTTTGTCATGATGATCGGATACTTCAACGGTTTCACGATCGCCCAGTAACGATCCACCGAGATACACATCAAATGGAGTATCGAGCTAGTGCTGAAGTACACGTCCAACGAGTTCCATACGTCGCACATGAAATAACCGAACAGCCATCTGCCGGTCATTTGTACGCTCGCGTTGAACGTCATCGCGAACATCGCGACCAGCATATCGGCCAGGGCCAACGAGACCACGAAGTAGTTCGTGATGATACGTAGCTTCCGGTGACGCATCACCGACACCATCACCAGAAGATTACCAAACACCGCGGTCACGATGATCGAGCCGAGCAGACAGCCTTTCGCGATCGTCGCCGGAACGGACCACTTCTGATCGTTCGTGTAGGTGCTGTTCACGAACTGACCGTCCTCGGTGGTCGTCGAGATCGCGTTCAACAACGTAGTCACGTCCACCGGGGACACCTCCGTTGGCTCGGAGGTGCTCACGATCGTCGTCATACTCGGTCCACCCGGTTAGAACACACCGGCGCGCGGTTTCCCCTTGGCCTTGTTCCTCTTCTTCGGGCCGGAAGAGACTCGTGACCGGCGGCCACGGAGGGGCGCGAAGGCCTTAGGTCACGGACGTGCCGACGAGCCGACGTACCAGGTTGGCCTTCATTCTAGCCGGGTAAGGGCGTTGCCACTTGCCAAGTTTCTTGTCCCACGGGAACGTTGCCAGAACGTAATCGCACGGGATCCGATACCCACACCACCGACGGAGCTAATATACTCGGCCGTTTCAAGGATGATGATCTCTGGGCGACCGATGGCGACTGGGCTTAGGCTCTTCAACCTCCGGCTGATGATTCTACATGTTTAACCGGCAAGGGGGGACGTCGAGTTTCACCGGTGACCTGGAAACAGAGGAATGGGAATCGAGTTAGGGACTTTATTTCTTTTTCTTTATTTTTTTGGTTTTGATTTTATGGGGAAAGTCTTGTTGTATGGACTTTGGGGTTACATGGGAATACAGTTAAAACCCTCGAAACCCTCGAATGGTAAGGGGAGTTTTAAGGTCATATTTGGTAAGGTCGGGTCAGATTCGACTCAAGCTCTTTTTTGCTATTTTCAGAGGAGTAAAACAAGTTTTTAATAAGATGAGATTAATGATTGAGTTGTATAAGATCCAATAATATATGTACTGAATGTTTACTAGATGATACAAATTTTGTTTAAATGAGAATAATAAGTAATAGAGTGGGGAGAGCAAAAGAGGAACTATAACTTGGATCGGATACGACCCGGACCTGTACCATTAAAGAGTTAAATTCAGCTATTTCTTAGGCGTAAAAGATGGTGTATTCCCTTAACACGTTCACTGTACTGGTTTGTACTCGAAAATTTATAGAAAATTAGGGGCTATTTGTCCATTAAAGTTGTTTTTCGAAAGTGTACAAACCTCGACAATCGAGTGGTTCATTTTGCAAAACTCATCAACTCCACAAGAATTATGAAGGAAATTTACTTTAAATATAAAAAGTTGTTAAAAATTCCAAAAGTGTAGTCAGATCACGTTGACCTGTGAACGAATCCAATTACCATTCTGAAACATTTTACGATTCAATTGTTGGACTATCGTGACGTACTGAAATAATACGATTGAATATTATTTATGCGATAAATTAAATATTACACGAACCCGATTGAAAACTACATATGCAGCATTCAGCGATGAATCTGTTCGCGGAGCAGCACGATTTACATACCTCTCGCTGACAGTCAAAACCATCATGACCCACATAGGTACGCGTCATAGGACAGTGAACGTGCTAATTTCTTGGAACTGGTTTCATTTTCATGTACGCGCCAATGTCCACAGAATTTTCGACAAGACCGAGATGCTCTTTTTCTGTACAAAAGAAAAAGCTGTATGGTCATAAGTTTCTCGTTGGAGTTGTTGCTTTAACCTCATGGAATCAAAATATTGATTCCGTCCATCAGTTACTGTTGCTTCAGCATAATAGCGTATCTTTTCATGGAGTACTCGAGCAACATCTCTTTCGATCTGAACAATTCTTCCAACTCACGAAGTTAAAAAGTGGATGTTTCTTTTAACTGTAAATAAAGTAAATATTTTGCTAACCATTCTCTTCTGTACTTGTATTCCACCCGAGCAGTAATTTTCAGTGTCCTTGTTTTTAAATAAACCTTCGTTTCTGTGTACATTCAAAGTGAAACAACAAAGGATTGAAAATAATCGTTCTCTAAGTGAAAACTACAGAATTGTTATAAAATGAAAGCGACACACGATTTTCTGCAGTTCTGGTGGTCCCTGTATAATAAATCATGGTTTTCGTTGGTACGTTGGTGTGTTTGAACGCGATACGAAGTTCTTATCGTCCCCATTGAGGAACATCCAGACGAGAGGGATATCAAGCACACTAGACGACCCACTTTATTCGATTTGTTTGTACTACTTGCTTAATCTACTCAATCCATTACAATGATTCGGGACTATTCAATTTATACAGTCACGACGGTACACTGTGCCAGCAGATTTATTCGTTCCGAGTTCCGGGGTTCCTTTCAAATCGGCATGGACCTTCGATGAAATTCCCAGACCGACCTCTGATTTCATTTGGTCAGGATCTCGTTTAAAATTCAAAAATTTATTTGCAATGCGAACCATGATATACTTGGTTCGTTTTTATTTCAACCACGCAATATACGAATTGTAGGTGAATATTTACAATAAAGGAGCCATGTTTGATTTCCATGATTTCTCAATATGTTGTCAAAGTTATTACCCTGAGTATGAAAATCGTCGAGATCGAAGGTGGCTCCCTTATTATAAATATTTACCGACAATACACACGTGTGTAATAGTGTTAATTGCATTAACTAACTAAAGCAACTATAAGCAACACGTTAACTATCTTAAGGCCCAAATTGCTTACACATCACAATTTACAGTACTGGTTCAGCTTAGGCGATGGTCCAACTTTGACAACCTTCCCCTAATACTTTTGTAATTCACTGGGCTTTTGTCCCGTGGATAAATAAATTATTATCAGTGTTATAATTATAAAGATCACCGAATAAATCGAACAGAACGATCGATGGTAACCAGAATAATATTCAGTGCCGACTCCAGAGTAAACGTCGAGTGAATAATTATTCCAAACGTGACGGTCGTTTATATATCCTGTCAGCCGTCATCGTTGCCCATGAAAAATGTTACCGTGTGTGTGTGCACGCAGCAGCCCTTTTGAAGAGTAGAGAGACAACCTTCCGCCAGGTTTCCCGATTGTCACCACTCGAAACGAGGACGTGCCGGAAGAATGGGTAACCTTGGGACCCTCTTTTTCCGCCGTCGCCGCCGCGTCGTCTGCCTCCTCCAGCTCCGTTGACCGTGCCACGGCGACAGGGCCGTGTCAAGTGCACTCTCCCCCGTGCGCGCCCGTGGTAATTTATGATCCGCTATTTTTCGCGGTACATTTGGGTCAATTATTCCGAACGGCTGCCGCGTGGAGTTGCCTTGTGCTTCTACGTGGCCGACGATTCCACCGATGAGATATGGTACCCGATGAATATTATAAAAAGAATCGTCTTCTTTTTATCATTTCGACGAGAAACGCGTTTCATTATTCCGCCCAGAGGCTGCACTCGTCCCTTTTGTCCTTCGAGGTTTTTGTCACCCTGGCTTTTTGTCAGCCTGGCCTTCCACTGGTCGTGACGACGACTTCCTCTTTTGAAGGACCATCGCTCGCGGGCCTTTCGATCGATCGATGTTTCGCGCTGAGTCGCGAGAAAAGATAACCAAACTTTTGCACGGGAGATATCGAGACTTTGAATAACTGGTAAAATTTCTCGTTACACGAAAATACTGTATTATGGGGTCAGATACTCGATATTTTTCGAGATTCGATACTGCAGTTTTTAGAGCACTGTTTCCCACACTTTTTTTGGATCGTGCCCCACAATCGACGCCTCAGAAATTTAGATGACCCAAGTTCTGAAGAAGTTTAACATTAATAGATCCTTCAAATAAAAAAGGAATATAGGTGAAACTGTCAAAATGTCAATGATTTACTAATTGCCCTCAAAATATTCAAATTGCCCCTCGGTGGGCCGTAGACTCGACGTTGGGAAATACTGGTTTAGAGTCTCGAATAACAAGGGAACTTTGGTAACACGAAAATTTCAATTTTTCATTTTTTTAATCCCTCATCTGTACCTCTATTTTCTTAACTTAATTTGTCTTTCGATGTAGAATTGACAGTTGTGCCGAATCTACAGGACACGCGAATTTTCGTTTGTTGCACCACCAAAAGTCCAGTTGCGCCTCGAGGATGAATCGTGATCCGTGAAACGAGAAACAGACGGAATGAACGCGATCATTTTTTATGGTGCGATGCCCTGGTGACTTACGACTCGCGTAACCCTAGCATGCTGGCGAATCTAGAAGGCAGCGAAACACACGAATAAATACGGCCGCGTCTCGCCAGCCAGACACGACGAATTTATCGCGACGACGGGGATACATTGTCGGATAAAATTGGATTTTGAGCATCGGTGGACATCTCGTACAGTGTGCAAAGAATCCGTGAAATTTTATCAGATTGGACTGAATTACAGGAAATACATAAAAGAAAAAAGTGTTGGTGATTTTAAGGATGTATACCGAGTACTCAGCAAAAAGAGCAAAGAATGTTTAATCAATACAGACCCTAAAATCAATCCTTTCGATGTACAATTTACTTTTATATCCACTGAAACTTCGATATCGAGAGGCTCTTCGCAATGTATCGAATGAAAACAGAAATATTGATTTAGAAATACATTAATTCGAGATACGAAAGGAATATTTGAAAATGTAGATACTTGGATCTATGATTCGCAGATCCGAGTTTTGTATTGAAAATGGAAGAAAGACATTCAACATTTGTAACAAATGTGATTGTTATGAAAGAAATGTGTAGATGCAAGCAAAGTTTTCAAACTATCTGTTCTATTCGAAGCCGATTTTTCAAGAAAAGGATTTGACTTTAAAAATTTGTTCTTTTAAATCCCTTTTTTAAAAAAAATGTGTTCGGTATATTTGTAGCACAATATTGTTTAGGTAGTTTAGAATAGCATGTTTTTATATTCTGAAGAACGCTAAAATTATAAATTCATTTGTAAAAATCTCTTTGCCAGGAATGAAATTTTTCTCAAAGCAGAAATTCGCCTCAACATAAATATTTCATTTCATTCCATTCTATTGTCGAAATACGCGGACTGGTTACAGACAGCGTTTGCATTTTTCGAGTGGTGGGTTTTCGGCGGCTTAGAAACGCAACCGGTCCAGAAATTTATATACTTTAAACTCGACGTGTTTGCACACCCATACACACACAGGAGAACGCGTATTACACACATCGAGATCGAGTAGCGCAGCGGCACTGTAAACTTTGATAAAGGTATACGGAACTCCTGTTGCGTACAACTTCAAGTTGTTTAAAATTCAAATAACAGTT